GGGTTTAGGGGCTTGGGTTTGAGGGGCAGGAGCTGAAGAGATTGGGGGAGAGAGGCTAAAGGGATTGGGGATGGATTTGGGAACAGGGGGAGGGGATGAGGGGCATGGGGAAGGAGCTGCAGGGATTGGGGTTATGGTGGGGGTGGAGGGATTAAGGATTGGAGGAGAAGGTTGGGAGAGGAGGCAGCACAGCCCCCCAGGAGGTTTGGGAGGGGGTCAAGACATGAAAAGCCTCTGAGACCCCCTTGAATGAGCCCAGGGCTGTGTGTCCAGGGTAGATGTAATTCTGCCTGTAACTGCTGTCAAACACTCTGAAATAGAAAATGCACTGGAAACGTTGGTTATTCCTTCTCAAGGGAGATGAGGAAGAATCTGGGAGCAAGAATTGTGGGAAGCAAGAGGAGGAAACACAGAATGTGTTTGACTCAGGCATTTCATAATCCCTGGAAGCTCAGGCTCACTGGAGATGGCCAAGGCCACATGAGCAGACGAGTTCTGTGGTGCCTGTGCCCTCACTGCTGCTCTACTCAGACCCTAAATTTGTTTTCCAGGGAGATCTGGGCCCTTTCAATCCTGGTTTGCCAGTGGAGGTGCCTGTGTGGTTGGCCATTAACCTGAAGCAGAGGCAGAAGTGTCGGCTGATTCCCCCGGAATGGATGGATGTTGGTAAGGATGGAGGTTTGGGCTCAGACCTGGGCTTCAGTGGGTGCAGTGGAAACAGGCAATGAAGAAAAAAACCCTGGTTTTCAGCATTATCAGGAGCTTAGTCCAAAAACATAAAGTATCTGAGAGAGAAGGATCTAATGTTCCACCACTGGAATTCTTTATATTTACTGTTAGAAATATATATATTTCTAACCTATACCCTATACTGTGAGGGTGCTGAGGCACTGGCACAGGTTGCCCAGAGAAGCTGTGGCTGCTCCATCCCTGGAAGTGTTCCAGGCCAGGTTGGATGGGGTTGGAGCAACCTGAGCTAGTGGAAGGTGTCCTGGCCCATGGCAGGGGGTGGGATGAGATGAGCTTTAAGGTTCTACCAACCCAAATAATTCTGTGATTCTATGATACATGAGATGTAATGTTCCCAATTAAGTCAGGTGTTTAATTCCTGCTCCTCAGGAGAGGAGGAAGAACAGGGATTAAATAGAATCCCCAGTCATGATACCTTCAGCACTGGTCTTTCTGCTCAGCACTTGGATCTTTCACAAGGCTTGTTCAGAAGGAGCTTTGGCAACCTTGGATCACAGAATCATTTAGGTTGGAGAAGACCTCTAAGATTATCAAGTCCAACCTGTGACCCATCACCACCTTGCCAGCTAGACCAAAGCACTAAGTGCCATGTCCGGTTGCTCCTTGAACACCTCCAGGAGTGGTGACTCCACCACTTCCCTGGGCAGTTCCTATGCCTTACCACCCTTTCCATGAATAAATTGTCCCTAATACCCAACCTGAACCTCCCTTGACACAGGTTGAGGCCATTTCCACTCATCCTGTCACTAATTCCTTGGGAGAAACTGGATGACACTGTGAGGAGGGAGACCTTCAAGGCCTCCATGTTTTGTCAACATCCTTCTGTGCTTCCTCAGAGAAGTCTTTCCCTTTCCTCACATCAGTTGAAGCTTGGACAGTTGAAGCTTGGCCATAGAGTTGAAATAACACCTGAAGCATTGAAGGCTTGACAATACCTGACCATTTCTGCTTGTCTTCTAGGAAAACTGGAGGAAATTCGGGATCAGGAACGCAAAGAGGACACCTTCACTCCCATGCCCAGTCCCTACTACATGGAACTCACCAAGCTGCTGCTGAATTAGTGAGTAGGAGCTGAGCTGGAGCCGTTTCCACCCCAGTAGGTGCTCACACGGCCAATTTCCCAAGCCTTGCTTGGCAGCAGCCCTGGAGGGCACTGGGGAAGTGGGAGTTAACAGAGATTTATCCCAGACTCTGCCAAGATTTCACAGCAGCACTTTTACTCCTGGTAACTTTGCATTTCAGTAACTTGGGGATTGCTTGTTCTGTGGCCTCATAATTGGGGCTGTGCCGCTTTATTGAGCAGCAGCTCAGCGTGGAGGCCTGGAGGAGCCACAACACGTTCCACGGCTGCAATCTGTTCAGCAGCCTAAACCCTCCAGGCTTCTTCCTTGGCTCTCCTTCAGGAGGAAAGCTCCTCTTCCCTCAGCCTGAAAAAGCAGGAGACTGGGGATATTCCGAGCCTGAGCTCCTGCCTGCTGAGGCATTTCACTTGTAAAATGTGCTGGCTGGGATTTGTCTCAGCGAAGGCTCTGGTGGCTTTAAGCCCTCGATTAAGCAGGGTGGTCATTCCAGCCCTGTTTTTTTCCTCTGGGATGAGGCTGTTGGCGTGTGCTTTCCCTCACGCTACAACAGCCCTGACAGCTCTGTCCGTGCGCATCGATCGCAGCTCTCGAGGTCCTTATGGCAGTGCTGAATGGCCTTAATGGGATGATGTGGCACATCTCAGAGAGCTCTTTCAGCTTCATTCTCCCTGATGGAGCCCTGGGAGCACTGAGCCAGGGCTGTAATCAGGGCCAGGCCCTCAGATTCCCTGTGTGCCCATGACTCTGTCCGGGTTATTGGCCCTCCGTGCGCCTCGTGCCAGCTGGGCAATTAAAGAGCAGAAGGATTCTAGTGAGAACCAGATGCTGCATCAGAGCTGAGCATTCCTGGGTAAATAAAGCATCCCAGAAATCCCAGCAGCACAAGGACCAGACTGGATTTTAATGGGGAGCTGCAGGTTTTTGTCTCTGTAGCAAACTGTTCTCCATGTGCACTGCCAGCACCACTTACACCATGATGTAACCTTGTACGACCCAGGCCTGGGCTGCATCCCAAGGACTGTGGCAGCAGGTCCAAGGAGGTTATTCTCCCCCTCTGCTCTGCCATTCTGGTGTCCCAACATCAGAAGGACATGGAGCTGTTGGAGCAAGTCCAGAGGAGGCCACAAAGCTGAGAAGAGGATTGGAGCACCTTCCCTAGGAGAGAACTGGGACTGTTCAGCAAAAGCAGTGACATATATATGTGTGTGTTGTTTTCCCTCTTAACAATTTAGCATTGCCCCAACCGTGGCAGTGTTCAAAGCCAGGTTGGCTAAAGCCTTGAGCAGTCTGGTGTGGTGAGAGGTGTCCCTGCCCAGGGCAGGGGACTGTGACTGGATGATCTCTAAGCTCCATTCCAACCCCTTAGCATATTGTGATACTCTGATAACATACCCAGCCTGCTCTGATCCACTTTCCCAGTGCCTCAGACAACATTCCCAAGGCTGATGAGATCCGGACGCTGGTGAAGGACACGTGGGACACACGCATGGCCAAGCTGCGGCTCTCCGCGGACAGCTTCGTGCGCCAGCAGGAGGCTCACGCCAAGGTGTGTTGGGGACACGTGGGGACCAGCTCTGCCATGCTGTGCTGGGACAGCTCCAGCTGCCATGGAGACTGGGGATGGGTTGCTGCTGGGAAAAGGCTGTTTGGGGCGTGTTTTTCCTGTGTTGTGCATGGATTTGGGAGCTAAAGGCATGAGCTGAACCCTTGTGCTGGTGGCAGCTCTGTGTGCCTGATGGAAATCAGGGAATCATAGTATCATTGGGATTGGAGGAGACCTCTAAGATCATCAAGTCCAACCATTAACTTGTCACTGCTCTAACCCCTAAACCTCCAGTGCCAGATCCAGACGCCTCTTAGACACTTCCTGGGATGGTGACTCCACCTCCCTGGGCAATATCCCAATGCCTGAACACCCTAACAGAAAACATTTTTCCTGACATCTAATCTGAATCTATCCTGTCTCAGCTTATGAGAAATGGAATGGTTTGGGTTGGAAAGACCTTAGAAGATCTCATTCCACCCCCTGCCCATGGAACAGCTTCCACTAGCCTGGATTGCTCCAAGCCCCATCCAACCTGGCCTGGAACACTCCCAGGGATGGGGAGTGCTCTTGAAATAGTGCTCTTGGTGCTTGCGTGCTTCTCCTGACTGGGGTGGCAGATGGGTTGGCCCCTTTGGATATAACCAAAGGAGAATTGCGGACTGTGAGCTGTTTCCCAGGGTTGTGTTATTTCCCCTCTTAGCTGGACAACTTAACCTTGATGGAGATCAACACTGCTGGGACTTTCCTTACCCAAGCGTTGGATCACATGTACAAGCTCCGGACCAACCTCCAGCCTGGAGAGAGTGCTCACTCCCAGGATTTCTGAGGCATTCCCAGATGAGAGAACTGCAGGGGAGCAGTGCTCTGCTCCTCACCCCTGGACCTTCATCTGGTCAGTCCACACCTCCCTGCACAGACCTCCCAACCCTTATCCCCCTCGGCAGCAGCTACAGCCTCCTGGCTGGATGGGAATCGCTCTAGACCATCCCTGTGAGCCTCTCCCTGCTCAGCAGTGGCTTGCAGGGCTGTAATGAGCCTGGGCGGATCTCTCCGTGTGGGTGTACTTCAGCGAGGGAACTTCTGAGGGCAGCACAGGCCACACACTGCCTCGAAAGCCATAAATTTCGAGGCGGTGCTTCGCCACGGATTCTCTCAGAGCCTTGGGGGGAAAAAAAAAAGCCAAGCAGGGGAAGATGTGCTGGCAGTGAGGTATCTGCTGGGGAGATCAGCTGGGAAGCAGATCCATCTGCTCTTTGGAGAAGGACAAAAGAAAATGGTTTTCCCTCTCCAAAGGCTGTAGGGGAATAACATACATCTGGCTTCTCTTTTTCGTGTTTGGGGGTTTTAATCTGAATCTGTGTGTAAAAAAGTAATGCTAATAAATAATTGTGGCAGAGTCAATGGTATGAAATGATAACTTGTACACCAGCATGGGTTAAACAATGCTTGGAAAACCTGCAGCTCTGTTCCTTTGGCTCCAGCCCAGTTCCCCTGTGGCATAGTGACAGGCAAGGGCAGGATCTGGGCAGACCTAGGCAGGATCCAGGGCAGGATTCAGGGCAGGATCCAGGCAGGATCCTGACCGGATTCAGGGTGTGCTGATGGCAAATGTAATCATTCCAGGCGAGAGGGAAGCGCCAGCTCCAGCCCAAGGGCTCTAGACTGCGGGCGCTGCCCTTCCCCAAGCATCTGGGCCAGACTCCTGCTGCCATCTGTGCCCTGCCTGCCTGTCCCCAAAGGGCTGAGACGAGGGGGGCAGTGGCAGGAGCTGCTGGGAATGCCTGGAGCAGGGCTGAGGATGCTCAGAGCAGGGTTGGGGGTGCTCAGAGAAGAGCTGGGGATGCTTAGAGCAGAGGATGCTCAGAGCAGAGCTGGGGCTGCTCAGTGTAGGGCTGGGGATACTCAGCAGAGGATGCTCAGAGCTGCCTTCCCAGCAGGAGAAAGAATCTGTTGCCATCATTGTGGTAGAGTTTATTTTGCTTTTTTTTGGATGTTTTCAGAAATTACAGCAATATATTCATAAATACCTAATGACTACATTCAACAAATAATATATTACATTACAATGAATTCCAACAAGTACACTTTGAACATGGTTAGGGTTGGGGGGTTCTCCTTTTTCTGGGAGGGGGTTGTTTGTTTTCTTTCACAGCATCTAACCTGCCCCCAAGGGGTTGTGCCTTCCTCCTCCCAGCCCTCTGGCACAGCAGTTCTGCATGGGGTAAGTATGGACACAACCCTGGAGGGAGGAGTAATGCTGAGAAATTGATCCATAAAACCTGATTCCAGCCTGGTGAGGGTGGAAACTCAGTGCAGGAGCTGCTACAAAGCAAAGCTGCACCCCAACCAACCTCCTCAGCGCAGCCAGGGATAAATTGCCAACGATTTTCCATCCCTGCCTTCTTCTCCTCCACCCACCACAGCACACAGGAAGGGAAAAGAGTGGAGCAATGAGTATTTTGCCGTGTTAAAATTCCCTGGGAAGCCCAGAGTTGGCAGCAGCGAGGCCAGAGGCTGGCGAGGCAATTGGGGATTTAAAAGAGATTAAACTAATTTCTGTCACAAGGGCATTTTGCTTTTTAATCTTGCACAGCTCTTTTTTTTTTCTGGTGGGGAAGCCAATGGGAGAGCAGAGAACAAGGAGGGGGGTGAGGGAGGAGGGGGGTTAATGCTTTCTTTGCGAGTGCAACGAGGGAATTTAAAGCAGGAAGCAGAGGTCACCTTTTCCCGGAGATGTGAGTTGGTCTCGTGGCGAATTAACAACAATTTATAATAAATAATGTCAAAATAAGCATCCCAAAAGCCTCCCTGGGGGACTTGGGGCACGTGATGGGGAGAAAGAGGTTAAAAATGGCATCAGACCTCAACCTGTCACCCCATCCTGGTGACCCCAAGGGCACCTCTGCCTGCCAGCAGGCACAGCTCCTGGCTTGGCCCCAGGGTGCCACCAACACACCCCACAGGGTGCCCAAACTGCCTTAGCACTTCTCTGATTGTCTTAGGGTACTGGGGAGGGGGACAAGGACACCCCAGCACCACCCCACCCCCCAAACCCTCCAGCCCTGTCGGCGCAATCCCTTTGGATTTGGAATCCAGATGGAGCCTGCACGAGGCTGAGCCACCACCCAGCAACACACACCCCCACAGCTATCTGCTTGGAGCAGCACAAGGCCCAGAAAGCAAAGGAAAAAAGGGTGAAAATAAACAAAACAGGAGGGTGGAAAGGCTCAGCTTCCCAAGGGATTGGTGGTGGGACAGCACCTGCCCCAGTGGAAAAGGCGATTTATTTTTCCTGCCTTGAAATTTGCTTTAAAACACTTCTGTCCTGCCCAGCAGCACTACAAACCCTAAAAGCAACTTCATCCTTTTGCCCAAATAAAAATCAGAAAGAAAATTAAAATGGGGAGGGAAGGGGGGGGGAAATAAGGAGAAGAAAAAAAAAGCAGAACCATTATAAAAAAAAAAAGGCAAGCTTTTTATAACAATAATTAAAGCAATAAAAACATACAAAATGTTTTGTTTCTTTAATATATATACACAGTACAAGGCTGAAGCACCTTTTGGTTTTCACTCTTCCATCCCAACCCCAGGGGAGTGATTGGCTCTGACAAGGTGACACCTCCCCCCACCCGGAGTGTGTCCCTGCCCCTTCCCCACCAAACAGGAACAAAAAAGGGACCTTCAACCAGTTTATTGACTTTATTTTTCCATAGCCAAGTGCATTTCCAGTGGAAACCCCGGGCTGGGGGTGCCGTGCCGGGAGCGGGAGGCTCGGCAGCTCCGGCCCCGCGGGGCTCTGCCTCCTTTAGTGTTGTCAGTGGAGTTTTCATTGTCTTTTTTTTCTTTTTTATAGAAAAAACCCAAAATCCAACAAAAAATGAGCATTATAAAGTGGAGGTGGGTGGCAGGGGGGCCGCAGCGCTGTGAGCCACCCCGAAGAGGGGAGGGATGAGGGTTTGCTGGCCGTGGGGTGGGCTCCCGGCTCCAGTGCTCCTTTGCTTCATGCATGGCACATTCTCTGTTTGTTTGTTTGTTTT